TGACAGAATGGAGGTCCCCTTTAAAGCCACTCTACAGGGCAGGGCAGGCGGTGTCAGGTTACCCAGTTGTGTCTGCTGTTTGTGTATGACAAATAAGCAATAGCTTATTGGCAGCAGGCCTGTAACTGGAAACTGCTCAGGGAGAGTGGCTGTTGATTTCCCACATGAGCATAATGGATCAGTTTCACAACATACTGCCTGAGAGGGAACAGGTATTCAGATCTTCATTTCAGAAGAAGATATACTAGTGCAAACATGTTAATAATAATATATAATAAGAATAAAACCTGGCCCCAGATCTGCTACGTGATATTTTGTCATTTGCGGACATAGTTCAGGTTGTATTGAATTGATAAAGCAGGACCTTTCTTGAAACCCTTATGTTAGTTGATGATAAACTGGAACAAACCAGTTTATACACAAGGACGTCAAGGGTCTCCAAGGGTCTCTCATTTATACAATATGAGTCTAGCGTAGGCCTAAATGGTTCATTTCTGATCATTTATCTTACTGTAATAAAATAGTCATACAAACTGCTGATTATAAGAAAAAGTGTTTCCTATTGGTTACATTTTACCGGACGGTGTGCCTGGAATGAAACATGTTTTTTTTGCTTAAATTACATTACACAAATTGACACTACTTACCAGGGTTAAATGTCAGGGAACAGAAACTGACAGTCAGGTCTTGATTAAGAGGAAAATAGAGAGGAGCAATATAAATACCATGTTTGTAAAAGACAATTAGAAAGACAATGCAATGTGAAAGAGAGGGGAGAGGTGGAGGCAGCTTCAATGACTACAGTCTATACTATTTACTTCAGGTAACAAAAAAACAGCATCGGTTGTTTTATATAATCCCCCCCTCTCATCATACATGGGCCCTTTCTCATTTCACTAATTACCCCTCCTCGACTCCTCGACTCCTCGGTCCTCCGGTGTGGGAGAAACTTCTGTGTAGCAATGCAGTGGGAGTCACCGAGAGCTGGAGCTTTGATGTCAAACACTGATGGTTTATTTCGAGCTTCGGCCGGAGAATTCACAAAACAAGTCCAAGAGTCAGAGGTTCTGACTTCACGGTAGAGTTGCCACGTCAATTCTGAAGAACTCTACCTCAGACCCATGTATTTAGCTAGTTCAGAGAGAATAATCAACATTGTGCATAACAAGATAGAATCATAACACCTCTATCAGCTGACGCCAACAGGCAGGAACAGGGAGACAAAACACTGAGAGCACAGCAGCCAAGGTTACAGGTGCGTGTGCTCAGTCAGGACAGTTTGAACTGATACACTGGGTCAAAGTTATGGACCTTGGAAAATATTTCCCCAACAGTTTAGTGACCCGGAAATGGATTTCAGCGCACCATGTTGAAGGACATCTCATTTCTCTAAATGCACTTCGAGGACCGAGGATCGAGCATCGAGGAGGCTCTCTGGAGGAGCTATAATCGAGGATACACTGATGGGTCCTCCGTGGATGTATTTCCGGCAACAGTGATGTTTAAAAGAGTCATACTGCTCTGCTTTCTGCACGGACCTCACAGCTGTTCTCACTGGAAACATCGCGTCGCCGTTCAAGCAGTTACTAAAATAATATCCAGGGGATGCATGCAGAGCTGTCATTGGCTGAGATAAGTGCGGCCGTGCGTCACGACTCTTTGAAACTTCACTGTTGCCGGAAATACATCCGCGGAGGATCCGCGGACTGGCGCGGAGGACCCATCAGTGTATCCTCGGTTATAGCTCCTCCAGAGAGCCTCCTCGATGCTTGATCCTCGGTCCTCGAAGTGCATTTAGAGAAATGAGATGTCCTTCAAAATGGCACGCTGAAATCCATTTCCGGGTCACTACCAGAGGACCGAGGATTCGAGGAGTCGAGGAGGGGAAATTAGTGAAATGAGAAAGGGCCCGGAAGTAGTGCCTCCTTTCCTTAAAAATAAACGTTTTGTTGCTCGGAAGTGAAGGTGATTTGTGTACCTATAGAGAGGCAAAGTCCCGCCCATCTACTTCCGACCCATGGGACCTTATTTCTGAAAAATAATGTATTGAAGTCAATGGGGAGAGAAAGATTATCTTTCGATCCCGTTTGAATTGTGCCACGAATTACACATATGATGTTTGTCAATCTTAAAAAATAATTTCCAGGTCAAAAAAGTCACAGTTTGTCGTAAAACTGTTGAAATATAAGACTATGAAAAATATGAAACTAGAAAGACTACAAATCCCAGAATCCCGGTCCCGCATGCTGGCTCTTACGGAACCGACTAACTCCCCTTATGTGTATGTACAGCTCTCAACATGCCCAGACTTGGAGTGATTTTCACCTCTTTTAATACTTTTCGCCTCATTCTGAAAGAAAGAAGTGAAATGTGCCAACGTGACGGCCGTCTTGGTGTGTGGTGCGAGACGGGAGATGTAGTTCATTGAGCGGTTTCACACACAAAAAAAGTGTTACTTCACAAAATTATTTTTTAAGATTGACAAACATCATATGTGTAATTCGTGGCACAATTCAAACGGGATCGAGAGATACGTTTTCTCTCTCCATTGACTTCAATACATACTTTTTCCGAAATAAGGTCCCATGGAGGTCCCCGGAAGGGGAGGGACTTCGCCTCTTAGGCTTAGAATATGAAAAACAATACTAGAGAACATAAATTATCCAAGTGTGGAAAATCGAGAGGAAAAAATTATAATATTAAAGGTGGGGTAGGTAATTTTGGAGAAACCGGCTCGAGATCGCCAGAATTAGAAAATACACAGCCGGAAAAAATCTGCCACTTCCTTACAGAGCCCCTCCTCCAACACACACGAACGCGGCACATGACCAATGAGGGCACGAGATAAATTTGTGCACAGATGGAAGGCTGACAGGCAGGTAGGCCATCCAGTCATTTTAGCCGGGCCGGCTAAAATGATTGGTCGTGCTTTTCACAGTACTACGGCTTCCACAGATTACATTTTTTAATGGATTTTTTGTCAAAGCACTTAAGATATTCATTGCTATCGGGATGTTAAGAGCATTCCATGGAATATAACAAAAAGGGTATCTCGAGCCGGTTTCTCAAACTTACCTACCCCACCTTTAATATAAAATATAAATATAGGGTTAGGTTAAAAAATAAAAATTCAAACACATTTTTTTAATCTGTCGTGAATCCAAAAGCAGTTTTTTTAAGTGAAAGAAGAAATTATTCAATTGAATATCACAAAAGTGTAAGAGGTGTGTGGCGCAGTGGTTTAGTGCGTTGGTGTTCGGATCAGGGGAGCACAGGTTCAAACCCCACTGCAGTCAGCATGTCGTTGTGTCCCTGAGACACTTCACCCCAAATTGCTCCTGTGTGGATTGTCCACAGTATAGAGTATGTAAGTCGCTTTGGATAAAAGCGTCTAACAAGTAACATGTAATGTAATGTAAGAATAACAGGCATAGGCCCATGCTTTAGCATCTGGCCCTGGGAAAAACAATGAATTCCTTGTTATTCTCCCCTGCTCACTTACTTTTAGAAAACGTTATTATGTATTAAGTAAACAGTAGGCTATATATAAATCACATTAATAAATCAGTTCCCTTACTCCTCTGTGTAATGTTACAATTTTTTAGCTAAAATAAAATCTGGCCCCAGATCTGCTATGTGGTACTTTGTCCTAGCAGACATAGATCAGGTTGTATAGAGTGGTGCAGTGAATCTATCGATCATAAATCTATCGATTAGATTTATGATTAGAAAATTAGAAAAGTAGGGTAGACATGTGGAGATTATCCGACTGAACAAAACGTGATCCGTCTCTTAAATGTGTGTCAACCACAGACCTTATTTCGAGCTATTTTCCAAAATCCTATGGAGAAATTGCATTGTTTTTTTGTCGAGGGAACCGGAAGAAGCTTACTTTTTTTTTAGGACGCGTGACTGCACCACTCTATTCAGTTAAACTGATAAAGCAGGACCCTCCTTAAAGGCCCTTATCATTTGATATTTGAGTATAACAAACCAGTTAATACACAATCGTTGAACTGGATATCCAGGATCTCCAAAGGGTTTCTCTGATTGATACAATATGAGTCTAGCGAAGGCCCAAATGGTTTATTTCTGCAAATGTATCTTTATAAAGTTGTCATACAAACTGCTGAAATTATAAGAAAGTGTTTCCTATTGTTCACATTTGACTGAAGGTTGTATATCCAAGGCTGGATTAACCTGCTACAGGGGCCTGGAGTTAATCATGTATTGGCTCATGGTGTGTGCTGTGCTCTGTGTACCTGTCAGTTTTTAAGTATATCGGACCTCACTGCCGTCTGTAACACCTATGCTGCCTCCAAATGTACATAATCTCCAGGGAAACCAGTGGGCCTATAATTCTAGGCTGTAATATCTCATAATTTGAGTTCATTGAGGGTATTTGATAGGCATTAAACAACATTGGATTTAGGAATGTTTAACCATGTGAGCACAATATAAAAACACACTCCAACATTTTGACTTGACACTCCCAGGTGGTAATTGCAAATGTATATATACATTTGCAATTAATTAAATTGCCAACGTATTTGACGTTCTCCCTTTATTCAGTTTAATATTCCACCAATGTTTTATTTTATTTTTCTTTCAACTTTATAGAATATTTCAGAAAAGGGCACATCACAACAGTGTTCATTAAATGAATTAAAACTGAGGGCATTATGAACAAACAACAGAAAGAAAAAATAAAATAAACAAAACACAAGTGGATGATAAGGAATTAAGGTGTGTAGAAATTGGTAAAATTGTTGGTAATTTTTACTTTTGCAGCATTTAATATTCTTTCACATTCAGAAAACCAATACATTTTAGAGAAATGTTGAGGTAGCAGCATTTGTGGATGATATATTTTGCTAAAATAGTCGAATTACTAATTCCAAATTCTGTACTTTTATATTCCACCAACGTTACTATGAGATAAAGCGGTTTAATTTGGCATGTCGTGACCGGAAGTTCCAATTTTACTCAGGCTAGCTTTAAATAAATCCGAGCAGCGGAGCTACGATGCTCTCAGCGTCCATCCAGCGGGGAGACAAACAGACCGACAGGAGAGGTTCTTGGCTTTATCCACAGAGACATCTTCACACCGAGTAGACAAAGAGAAGCCGTGAGAACCTGTGGGAGTGTGTTAGAGTGTTTCCTGTGTGCCGGGGGCTGCTGCTGTGGAGCTGGGCTCGAGCAGGACAGGGCGGGGTGATGTTTAGGTTCCGGTATAAAGGCAGCGAGAAAATGGGAACCAGACGAGATGTGGAGCTGGCTGCCGACGCGTTTGTTTTGTCCCGGAGACTAGAATGAGAAGTGTACCGTCCCGGTGTAACAGGGCGGCGGTGTAACCGTCTGGGGAGGCCGCTCGCGGGGAGAAGCGTGTCTCTGCGGCGCCCCTCCGCCCCCTGTCCGTCAGCAAGATGAGGACGCTATTTACATTCTGTTGTCTCTTCCTTATTACCGGCGGAGCAGACCGGGCGTGTGCCACCGGAAACCTGACTGTCGACAGCAGTAACGACACCGACCTCACGGCAGACGGCAGCAGCAGGTTTATCAGCATCGGGGACGGCTCGTCGCAGGAATTCGAGTTTCCTGAAAACACCAACGGCGTGATTGTAATCTGCAGCCAGTACCGGAGCGGGGCCGCGAGCGTTAAGGGCCGCCAGAGCTGGAAGCAGACGGTTACGGTCCGTTCCCTGGACCCGGAGGTCCTCTCCATACTGAATGTGACGGATAGCGGCCACCAAGGAAAAGCCAAGAGCTACATTATCAGCATCCGCTCCGGGTTCCCAGGCAAGGCTCAGCTGCAGATCCAGCTGCTGGAACTGGACCAGGATTCGGTGCCGGTTCTGATCGAGGAAAGGACGGATTACTCCATCAAAGTGGCGCCTGGGAATGATGACCCGGCCACCCGGCTCATCCAGTCGGGTGGCCTGTCCCATTTCTCTGAGAACCCGGTGCTGTTCGCCTTGCTGCCCCTCATCTTTGTCAACAAGTGTGCATTCGGGTGCAAGGTGGAGGTGGAGGTTCTGCGGGGGCTGCTGAAGAGCCCGGTACCTCTGCTCCTGGGGGTGCTTGGTCAGTTCCTGGTGATGCCATTGTATGCCTACTCTATATCCCGGCTGGCCAACCTGCCCAAAGCGCTGTCCCTGGGCCTGGTAATCACCTGCTCTGCCCCAGGAGGTGGGGGGGGTTACCTGTATAGCCTGCTGCTCGGGGGAGACGTGACCCTGGCCATCTCCATGACCCTGGTCTCCACGGTGGTGGCGGCAGCAGCCATGCCTCTGTCCTCAGCCCTGTATGGTCGGTTGCTGGGTGTGCACGCGGCCCTGCACGTGCCCTTTGTGAAGATCCTGGGCACCCTCCTCTTCATCGCCATCCCCATCTCGCTAGGCATGCTGGTCAAGCTGCGCCTGCCCGCCCTCACTCGCGTCCTGTTGGCACTCATACGACCCTTCAGCTTTGTGCTCATCGTCGGTGGCATTTTCATGGCCTACCAAATGGGAGCGTCCATCCTGGCCAATGTGCGGCCCCAGATCGTGGCAGTTGGGGTGACAGTGCCTTTGCTGGGGCTGGTGGTCGGGGCCATCCTGGCCAGGCTCGCGGGCCTGGCTCCCCCGCAGAAGAAGACGGTGAGCATCGAGGTGGGGGTGCAGAACAGCCTGCTGGCCCTGGCCGTCATGCAGCTGTCGTTCCGCCGGGCAGAGGCTGACTTCGCGTCCCAGGCGCCATTCATCGTGGCCCTCAGCAGCACCTCGGAGATGCTGCTCATAGTTTTGGGCTACTTTTTCCAGCGGAGATTGTGTGGGCCCGCCGTCCCCAGGAGTGACGCCTGATTGTAGCCACAGTTTTTTTGTTCTGAACTCTTTGAAACCTGTGGATATTTGGTGTCCCACATGATGGCTACAAGACGCACAACAATCACCAGTTCAGTCTTCACTGTTGTGGTACACAGGACAGTGAATGGACTTTTTGTGTTTTGTCATTGTTTTCGTATTTTTCATGAAAACCAAAGGCCTTTTACCCCTCTGAGACCTTTTTTGTGTTTATTTTACAGTATGTACTTTTTAAAATCAGATTATACTGTGAGGTACTTAATGTAAATATTCACAAGAAGAGACCTACCTATAAAAGAAAAGATATTTTTCTACCAGATTACTTTTTGTAATCAAAAAGCAAAGATTGATTTGCATCATGTTTACATGAGGTCCATGTGTCTTAGCCTGGGGGAGGATTTCAGGGGGGTTACGGGGAATTATTTGGAAATCAAACAGGAACATGATGATGATGATGGTATGAAAGTATTTGCTACTGATTGTGTCTCCTGGATCTGCGAATCCATGTACTTGAATATAAGTGAGGAGAAATTACGAAAAAGTTAATAAAACATTGTTAAAGCAGGCTTCAGTTTGTTATGAGTATTGTGTACCAGGAAGCACGTTCAATGGCTCCGTGAAGAGAGACAGTTTGTTGTTATGTAAAGAGTGTGTGTTTAAATAGGAAACTAACCTGATGGTGAAATGCTGGTCTGACGTTTTGCACATTTTAAGAGCAGCCTGATGGTATGTTTTAAGTTCCAAAGTAGATACTTTTGGATTATCACATTTCTGATATTATTCAATTAAAGTGATACCTGTCCTCATAAATAATGTATTTAAATCTCACAATTGTATGCCACAAAACGTCAGCCATTGGGATTCTTTGACTGTGGTCTAATCAGGGAGGTAAAACATTACCTACTGAACATTGTCAGCAGTTTTTCAGAGGCTTAGCAGTAAGTGGTATCAGTTTAGGGGTTAGAGGAGGTTATATGGGTTATTGAGAGTACTGATAACATTTCTGTTGCATTAACATTCTGTTATATTGCTGTACAGGATTCAAATCCAAAATGTCATAAATCTGAAATGCTGAGCAGGGTTTGTTTAAATAATATTAAAGGTCAGTGAGGAATGTGTGTACAGTGGTTTACATGAAGACAATGAATACAGGGATCCAGGCAAAAATAAAATAAATAAATAGAAGTGTGAGCAGAATAACAGTGATGCATGTCTTCACTTCAGTAACATATTGCATCAGAGGACATGGTCCAGTTTTGATCAGTTCTCTTGTTGAGGTGAACTATTGGCAGCAGGTTCAAAACTCAGTGTTCATTGTCAGAACCAACTTCCCCTTTCTGTCAAAGACACGTCTCACAGCTCCAGTGAATGAAGGGGAAGTTGTTTTATGTAAATACTTTTATTTGGTTTCGTTTACACACTCTTGGAGGCAGCTCTGTAATGGAAATCAAGAGGGTTCAGTCCTGCTGTTTTGCCCAGCAGATCTGACGGAGCTCTCAGGAATGTAGCACACATGTAAAGCCTCCCGGCTGAGCGGAGCGTTCTGGGTGTAAAACTCCCAGGAATGGTGTCTCAACTCCTGTGGCCGCCTCACAGAGGGGGGCACTCCGCTTTCTGTGCGCCGTCACAAGGGAGTGACAACTGTAGACAGAGATACATAATCTCTCTGGGTCAGAAACTCTTCCTCATACCTTACACACAAAGCTTTTTGTAGCATCTCTATTGATTTTGTCACAAGAGGCATGGATAAAAGATCTGACCTACATGAATGTAACTTGAACTAAATACATAAAGCAATCAGGGGAAGCTTAATATATTGTGCAGGCATAACACGGGGACATAATTGATTATTTTTTAATTTATTTTAACAAATGATTTCATTAAAGGGTTTAGAATCAGGCTTATTGCCAAGTAGGCTTTGCTTGTGTGTAATTAGTGCATACATTAACACAGTTAGAGGACTAAGTTGTAGAAAAGGTGCAACAAAAAACGTTTAAACTTTTAAAACAATCTAAATATGATTGGTCAATCTTTGAACTGCTGTTTTTCAAAAAAGTATTCACTTTTATAATAAAACATTATATTAACCTCTTATAATCTTGGGCCCCCCAACGTAATTTACAGTTTTTTACTATGTAAAATCTGAATTTTCTTTAAAATAAAAAACATCTATATTGATTCTGACTTTTCTACATCCAACTCACAGGTTTATCATTACTTTGAGAATAAAGATTATTATTTTAGAAGGGAAGATATGGTCATTTGTTCTGGGAATGTCATTTTCGAGCCTGAGACCTGAAAAACAGGCTCAGGGCTGTTAACACTGCCAACATTTTGTGAAAAGCACATTTGTTAAAGATATTGCACTGTATTTGCAGTACAATATGAGTTTTCAACTACGATTTACTCAATGTGTAATAATGTGTTTAGGTCATTGTTAACTTTGAGTCACAAAAATGTTCTAAAACAATGCTGAACAATGAATGAAATACTCTTTAATTGTTGTTCTTTTTTTACTTCAAAGGTGCAAGAAATCTGACATTTATTATAGCCCCACTGTACGAACTCATCTTTTGATAAATAGTTAACAGGTTGTGTGCGTGCGTGTGTGCGTGTGTGCGTGCGTGCGTGTGTATTCTAAGGTGTCACTGCGTGTTGTTCTCCATGCTGCTGACAGCGGATGAGGTTTGCAATCAGCACTCCTGTTTATATCACCACCCTGCACTTTAGTGGCACAATAGGAAGAGAGTCCTGTTAAAAATTCATGAGGACACATTGCATTAACTTTTCATGAGTTCCTTTCACCAACTCCCGTGAGACAGTTTTCCTGCTGCCCGCGCAATAGAGCTGGAATCTCCAGAAAACAAAGAGAAGCCGGCTGACGATGAGGAGTGATCGCCACTCCAACACACCAAGGGCAAGATGGAGCACGCTGCTGCACACTCATGGTCACACTGAGATTTGTATACGTGGCACTCACTATGGGAAATCTGAACTGAGTCACAATCCCATTTGTTCATAAAAATGTTAATCCTCAACAATTTCTTATTCTTGAACCTCCCAACTGTGAATTTGAGCAAGGAATTCGCCCACAATATAAATACACTTCCTCTTCAGGCCTTCAAACACAGGTCAGCTCTGTTATGAAGAGGGGGGGCACACTACAGCCACACCTGTCCTGACACGCCTCTCACTGTACCTGCTGTTTACACTGTAGGACTGTTTTAGGTACTAAAGCTTTTATGTGCGCTGCTCCTCTAGCTTGGAACACTATGCAAAAAACATTGAAACTGAGCATTTTGGTTCCCTTGCATCATTTTAAAGCACGGCTGGATGAAATGTTATTAGATACCTATCACTGTGAATAGGTTGCTAATTTATACCCCTGTAATTATGTTGTGATGTCCTTTTTGTTTTCTGTTGTTTTTATGTGTAACCAATGTACCGCAGGTCTCCCTTGAAAAAGAGATCGTTGATCTCAATGGGATTTTTCACCTGGTTAAATAAAGGCTACAAACAAACTGTGCACTAGTCTGTAGCCAGGGTTGGGAGGGTTACTTTAATATCCCAGCATATTTAGGATCAACAATGATTTTATTGATAGGAAAAGCTGCCTTTTATTCAGCATATTCAGGCAGCAGCCTATACACCAACACTGAAACACATGAGCACATGCTACAGTTTAAAAAAGCAGAAATAAAATCTGAGCTGACAGAAAATGCTCTGTTTTAGTTTAATACACACAGTTAAGCTCACATACATCATTTTACCTTCTGAATTAAAAACAGAACAAATGAAGCAAAGAAAGTGGAAACCATAAAGCAGATTCAGGCAGTAGGCGTATAGATTCACTCTTAAAGTATTAGCAGAACAGTACAGCTCTAAGAGAAGAGATAACATCTGATCCTTTAACAACAAACACTAGATGATCTTTTAGTTTTTAGTAATTTCGTAACTCTGCTATTAATTCCCAATTTTTTTAAATGTAACAGTAATCTGTTAACATCTTTTTTTATGTAACTGTAAGGGAATACAGTATCCTTTACCCTTATTACGCAATACATGTTATCTGTTACTCCCCAAGCCTGGTTATGTAAAACAAATTAATATTTGACATACAATCTGTTTCATCGTCTTATCAAATATGACGCATTATTTAATATTTACCAAGTGAACAGGAGTTACATCTGGTAACAAAATACATTAAATGCCAATAGTAATAATAATAATCCACTGACAGGACCCATCCTGTCTCGATAAGATTCAAGATTCAAGGCTTTATTGTCATGTGCACATTAAGTCACAGGCTCCTCCAACAGTGCCACATGAATATGTAAAACAAATGAAACAGATAAAACAAATAAAATAGTGCAAGAGAATGTAAAATAAAATAACAAAATAAAATAACAGTAATAACACTCATTAGAGGAAAACAAAATAACTAAATAACAAATTAAAGTAAGGAAGACAAAAATAATAATAATGAACACCGAATAGTTTTATTTATTTAAATACAGCAAACATGCTATTTTACAGCAACGCCCTGTTAACATTTACATTGAAGAAAAAATAATATCCTGACAGAAAGAGATGATACAAAGTGAAAAACAATTCAGAGATATGTGTTCAGCAAATGTACATGGAGCCCACTTTAATTATCAAAGCCATTACCTTCCAAAATAATTAATGAAACATCCCAAACTCTTGTAGGGACACACAAATTAAATGATTAACTATTGACTTCTAGCTTTAAATAAAACAAAGGAAATAGACAATTCTTGATTATGTGAGTTAAATTCAGTTTGTCATACTTGGACAAATTAGGCATATCACAAATGTAATCCCTTCCTGTTATCCAACACACAGAAGGAGACTGTTATACACTGTGGTGTGATCAATACTGTAGCAGCAGAGGCGAAGTCTCTCCCATTCCGGTTGAGCTCCATGGGACCTTATTTCGGAAAAGTTATGCATTGAAGTCAATGGAGAGAGAAAGATTATCTTTCGATCCCGTTTGAATTGTGCCACGAATTACACATATGATGTTTGTCAATTTAAAAGATAATTTTACAAGTCAAAAAAATACGAATGTGTCGTAAAACTGTGAAGTAACACTTTTTTTGTGTGAAACCGCTCAATGAACTACATCTCCCGTCTCGCACCACACACCAAGACGGCCGTCACGTTGGCACATTTCACTTCTTTCTTTCAGAATGAGGCGAAAAGTATTAAAAGAGGTGAAAATCACTACAAGTCTGGGCATGTTGAGAGCTGTACATACACAAAATGGGAGTTAGCCGGTTCCGTAAGAGCCAGCATGCAGGACCGGGATTCTGGGATTTGTAGTCTTTCTCGTTGCGTATTTTTCATAGTCTTATATTTCAACAGTTTTACGACAAACTGTGACTTTTTTGACATGGAAATGATTTTTTAAGATTGACAAACATCATATGTGTAATTCATGGCACAATTCAAACGGGATCGAAAGATAAGTTTTCTCTCCCCATTGACTTCAATGCATAACTTTTCCGGAATAAGGTCCCATACCCCGGAAGTAAGTGGGAGG